AGAGAGAGAGAGAGAGAGAGAGAGAGAGAGAGAGAGAGGAAAGTTTCAAATCTGCCTTAAAAGAGTAGTTAATAAAAGAAAACATAAGAAATAATTCGCTTAAACAATAGGTTGAGTGCATTCATCCATAAATGGGAAAATGTGTTGTTTTTATATTTTGCTTATTTCTGTTTTGACGCAAAGACCAAATTATGTCATATAAACTATTATTTTACCACTTTATTTATAGTATGGCTTTCAATATAAGCGACGATTTTGCCGACCCATGTGTGCTCTCATATCAATAGATTTAATCATTAATTATGAACGTATTTATGACAACTATTATATAAGATATAAATGTTTCAAATACCTATCGAATAGATTATAAACAGAATTTTTAATATCAAAATTCTTGTCATTTTTATACTAAAATAAATTCAAACTGAAAAGAGTGCTAATATTTAGCACAAGTCGTGATGCGTTTCATAAGGAATCGCTAATTGAAATTCTGTGCCCTAATCTAATCCCAGCTCAACCATAATTAGTTCATTTAATCACTCGATATATTACATACATTGCGTATAATGTGCGCTAAAATTACAAATAGCGTACAGAATATTCTTCATGTGAGTAATAATTATGAATAACAAAACACATCGAAGCGGAATATTAGGCATTAATTTCTATAATAATAATAAACATAACTCACAAACATATTTTCGAGCGCATGCTTTGCGAGCCAACAGTTCAGAAATCCAGGTATAAATAGATTACGTAATGGAGACCATATGAGCTGCAAATATATAATGTAGTGTTCAATGTGTGTATAATGTAGTGAACACTTATGTGTGTTATGCGGCCAGAGATGCCCATAAAACACACTCCGTCTGTGTTTAAATCGCTGAACACATGATAGCATGTAATTCAATGAGTAGTTTCTTTAGCAGAAAAAACATGAGTAAAAATTCTCAATGCTTTTTATAATCAAGGGTTAAGTCAATAAATAAGTAATGAGAAGTCGTTATGGAGTTATTGGAAATGTAATCTAACAATAATACTACGAATAGAAACCCAAGAATTGGTCACATATTTATTTAATGCCTTAAAGAATATTATGAATTCAAACATCCATTGTTTCTATAGTAATAACAACCCTTTCAAAGTCATTCCTGTTTTCCCATCCATTAACACTATATTAACTCCATATGTAATACAAAATGAACTCATTGAATGAACATGGTGATAAATTTGGTGTTATATAAACGCTGATACATACTGTGGCGACAAACGGCGCGTTGTTTACGATTTCCAAAATAATCTATATTAACTCCATATGTAATACAAAATGAACTCATTGAATGAACATGGTGATAAATTTGGTGTTATATAAACGCTGATACATACTGTGGCGACAAACGGCGCGTTGTTTACGATTTCCAAAATAAAGTGAAACGATAAATCACAAACGTTATGTAAAGGGATAATTAGTTTTTATTAATCGTTGTTTTTATCACGTAATCAAATTAAGCAGTTAACATAGCTAACACCTGTTATGTCAAATTCGGGAGTGAGAGACATTATGTAAATTTATGATGTCTGTAATATCAATATATGGCTATAACCACATCTCATAACTCTTACACACATAGATCTCATGGATACCACACTGGGATCTGTAGACCATTCAATGCCACACTTAATAAAGTAAAGTGTAATTTTCGGCCACAAATCTCCACCAAAAAGAGTCGTGTATTTAGTTATAGAAATGTAATGATTGTAACCATATATTATTTATAGCAAAATGTACGTTAAAATATAGCTAAAGTTAATAAAATAATTATTTATGGTAGGAATTGAGTATATAATTGAAGTTTAGTATAGTATAAAGATTTACAGAATTGTGAATAAAAGTTAGGAAAGTTTTAATTAAAAATTAAAGTTTAAATAGATTTTTAATAAATGTTTTAAATTA